GAGTTAAAGCCTTACCTTATTTAGTGCCGAAATCCAAGCGTTCGGACTATCGTCACGCGAAGAGTGAACCGTTTTAGCGACAGACTCGCCGGTGACGATAACAATAGTTGCTAATTAGTTACTGCTTTAAGATATTACATAAAAACAAAGTGCAAATATAATTGATGAAATGATTGCGCGAAATTAGGGCAACTCATGAAGCTGAATTTCATATTTAATACGTACATCATCTATCTTTTGTTTGTTTAATTTATGTATTCAGAGAAACAGATTTCTTTTATAATTAAACTGATGTATTAAATAATGACATATGAAGAAGGCACACTAAATGTGTCTAAAAAAATGAATATATAAATGAATATATAAATATTTTTTTAATTGGCATGTTTTTGGAGTTTTAGGAACTTTGTCAAGGGTTAAATAATAAAATGAACACTGCGTGTCAAAAGAATAACGAAAGAAATTGTGCATGCAAGTTATCTTAAATTTATTTGCTCATGTTTTCAATATTATTCTAAATATTTTTCTAGAAAATGTTGTCACGGTGCGTCCGAGATCAGTTAAGCAATCGATTTAGTCGATGTTTCTTCTGCTCTTCACTAATTTTTCACTTGATTAGTAGCGCTAATTCTGCTGAATTGCTTGAACCTTTCCTCATCGCCCAGTCAACTCTAGCCCTGATGTCACATGATTAAATTCAAGCGCGTAAGAAAATCTGATATACGAAACAACGCAAGTAAGAGTTTATACTTTAAACTGTTGACTCATTAGAGCATCAAATGTTAATACAACTCTTCTCTTTAGTTCTCTTCGTTTGGCATTCATATTTATTCATACTAGAATTGTTTATATTCTTGATATGTTTACATGCTAATCATTGTTTACATGCGTCATTCACAAATTTTCCCACCTTAATTTCTCACCATTGTTTTCACAACTACACTAATACTTTCGCGACATCGTGTTACGTTTCTGCGCTCTGTAACAATATACTGTATATACCTAAGTATATAAAAAAACACAATTGATACGCACTTAAAAAATTAATTAGTGTATTAACCTAACAAAGCTATTCATCTCGTGGACTAGCGAATTTGTGAAAAGGATTTTCGTGATCATCGTGCGTAGGCAGGGTAAATCCTTGATCAACCAAAGCTAAATTCCTTATTTTTTTTGCTATTACTGTATTATTTTAACGGAAAGATTCCAAACCATCTATTCCCCGATTCTACTTTAGGCCTATCGGTAGAGGAATTATATATTTTCACACTATTGGCGGATGCGTCACATGTAATGTTAAAACGAAGATAAGAATTAGATTTCAAAAATGAATTATAGGGGGTTTTTTTTTATACAGTATTAGACTATTTAAAATAAAGCCAATGACATCCTATTTATATTTTTTGTACATAATTAGATAATAAAATGTAAACTAAAATAAAAACAGAGATCTGAAGTTTAAAATAATTATGGCAAGCTTGTGCAGAATAATAATTCCAAATAATTCAACGAAACCAAAATTCAATTTACCAACCTACTGTACTTGATAAATTTATAAAAATTTTATTATTGTCCAAAATCTTTGAGAAAACATTTTAGCTACAATAATCTTAAAAGGAAAAAAATAAAAAAAAAAACCATAATAACTAATATTAATAATGTAACAGGGTCTGTCGCTATAGAAGGTAAACGGTGAGGTGTTGTTATTTGACCGAGGTCTCTCTCATTTATCAACTTTGATTTTCCAAACTTTATAAATAATTTTTCTTGGATTACACAAAATAAATTAAACACATGAAAATAAAAATGCATCAATAGTAAATAACGCATTATCATGGAAGTATTATATGAAATGTTCTTTTTTCATTGTTACATTTCGCGATTTGAATGTAATACTCCATCGTAGATCGATCACGTGATGAATGATTGTATCGTCGTTCATTACATAACACAGTATTCGGCACATAAGGTCGTATTTCCCTTCTATTACTCCGTTATAATGGTACAGGTGTGCGAGAATGAAACTCCTCTTCATTACCCTTTTTAATAAAAACAATTTTTCAAGTAGCAGTGACATGATTTTTCGTAATAAAAAAGAAAATATTCTGGTGAAATGGAAAATTTGTTCTATTATAGAAAGGGCCTAAGATTCAGGAAGAGGCCCTCGAATTCTCGATAAAGAAACATTAATCATTACTGTAATTGGTTGTATTATTAATCACTTAATTAATTTTGACGTTAATGCATCAATTTGATATTCTTGATTATTCCATAGTTGAACTTTCTAAAATGATTTACCGGATATTTTACTGGATTTCGTTTAATCACATGTTCTAAAATACACATCAAATATAAAAAGAATGATCAATTGACTTAAGTATTTATTAATGCATTAAACAATTATAATAAAGGCTTTAATTAATTGGAATTCATGTCAAAGGTGCTTAGTCAATCTGAGTTGTATTCTTTACTTCAACAATAATTACCGACGGTGAGCAAATTTTCACTACTTAACTACGATTACAAACGGTAAACATATTTTCACTGATATGTTAAGAAAATTCATATCAAAGGTGTACCAAATTCATAGTACCAATAGACGGTCTCAGAATCGGCCTTGCCAATTTAACTCAAAGGGACGATAATTATCAGGAGAGAAAACTTTTGACAAATTGTTATCAACTTCCATTATTTCATTTGTCACCTCACGTATAAAAGCTAATGATTTTTCTTCTCTACGCATATCTTTAAGCCGTTCGGGCTGTTCCATATTGTGGTCTCGGTGCTTTGGACATTGTTTAAAACGAACTGAAGTTTGCACGACAGCATTTAATGTGAAATGAATGACCACATCGGAACATCGCTTGTTTGGAAAAAACATGAGGAGCCACTCTATGAACTAAACTCAATAGAAATAATGCGATTAATTTCTGGGACGCCATTAAGGCGAAAAAAAGAGTATGTAGTCTCTTTATACCTTCATGATAGGGGTTGAATCGATAAGCCGGGATAGAAATGCGTTGATATTATAAAGAAAATAAATACGTACTCAATTAATATACGTACATATTATCTGAGCCAAAAAAAAATAAATTAGGCCGCGGGTTACACATGGCGACCTAAGTCACTTTGCAAAGCAAATAATATCACGGCAAAGTCTTGCGCCCTGCTTATTAATATGCAGTAATTAAATAATCTGAATTTTTATACGTTTTCTTCCCGCTACTTAAATCATCATCATCAGAAAAACATTGCACCCATATCATAATTTTCTTCCTCTCAGTATCTTCAGAGGGATCTGAGTTGAAACCTGAATAATCAGAGATGTTTTTCTGCATAGCGAGATACGAAGTATTTGTAGATATACCTACCGGTAAAAATTCATCTTCCGAATTGCAGGACGAATGACTAGAAGTATAAAATGGTGGGATAGAACTTTTGGTTACGCGGTGGGATATCAGTATTAATGAAATACTCCCTAATCGTGTCTATTTGCATATTAGTTAACTTCGAAAGTTTATTTGCACTAGAAGATTTAATTCGCTTAATTTTTTCCTCGTAATTTTATCGTTTAGTATTATTTCCTGTCAAGCTTATTTTTTTCAAATAGATAGACTAATCGGGTGCAAGTAATTGATATCTGTGGAAGTTTTATATACATTAACTATTTTAACATTGTCTTCGCTAAAGGTTCTATTTTTAATTCTTCTATCAAAGGTTGTATGTCTATTTCGGGGATTTTTGTTTTCTGTATGTTCGTATTTTGTTCTGAGAATTGTTCAGATAAATTAAGAGTATTAGGAATAGATTGCAATTCCGAAATTTGTTTGACATTCGATTCATCATAGGATTCTGACGAGCTATCCAAAGATGAGCTTGGACCTGAAGCTTCTTTTCTCGATTCCTTTATCTTATTTCGTTACAATTCCGTTCATCGTGTTTTCTTCCAGAAAATTATTCCATCTCTTTATCTTCGGATTATTTAAGCTCTACGCATATAGGCGATACAGTCAAAGAAAAGTTAAAACTCGAGATTTCGTATCTTTCTGAAGTGCATCAGAATTTGATGTAAGTCCGTACATTTGTACTGAAGTGTCGTTATATATATCAGATGCTGCTGAAGCATTATCATTTTGTAAAACGATCAGTTCAGATGTATCATTGCAAGAGGCAGATACAAAATGGCCAAATTTTGCAATTTCGGTTAAAGTGGTATTAATCTATCCGTACCATATGAATAGCCTTTTCATAATTTTTCTGCTCTATATTTACAAACCATCTTTCAAAGCTTGTTCTAATTTCAAAATTCTAGCTTTTGAAACTTGCTTCCTTAGCCAAGAATTCAGCCTTTTCTCTTTTTAATTTATCGATCTCAGCGACAAGTTTGGAATTCTGTTCTTCTAATGTATTGTAACAGGGAGAAATGGGACGCAACGTTAGTCACATGACCGGTCGTCGTAACAATGGGTAATGACGAGTGACGAAAGAAATTGATGAGAAATTATGTAAAGTAGCTTTAAAGCCTCGTCATTGTACTATAGCTTATTATCCTATGCCCAAGCCGCCATAGCCAAGTGTAAAGAAAGAAGTATAAAAGGAATGTAAGGAAGCAAAGAAGGAATTAGTGAGAAAACTAATAAAGACTCGGTCAAATATACACGCCTCAAATCACCCTTTCATTTACTTACCTGCTAACGGTTACGCGAATCTCTGCCAGAGTTAGCGACTGACTCGCCGTTACACCGTTACAGTATCAACTTTGGATTGCACATTTGCCGTTTTTATACAAGATGTAGACATTAATAAATAAAATCAATGAGTGCGTGATTAAAAGTCACGTTGTTTGCTTTTGCAAGAAAAAATAAAAATAAATTCGGAGGGAAATACCCCATATCACAACACATAAGATTAATTATTGGAGGTGACGTAAGCCGCTTTGCGCAAAGCAAATACGTAAAGAATGGCCGTTTTGGACCGATTGCTTTATTAAATACATGTAATGCAATAAAACTATACCAACTTATTAGCTGGAGAATTATCGACCGTTACCCAATCTTTTGATGATTGCGGTCTTTGAAAGCTTTAGGTGCTCTTTGCTTAGGAATTCAAAATATCAATTTATTATTTATGATAGTAAATTTTATCATTAATGGACTGAACTTACGATGTAAATATAAACTATAATGATAACTAAATACAATTAAAAATTAAGAATAAATTTCAAAAATATCGGTTTCTACCTGACATAATCTCGATGGTATACATTTTCACTATGACAAGGTTTAAAACTTGAGTCGTCTAACTTGCAACTCCAATATATTGCAATCCAAATCTCAAACTCGGTTCCTTTTGGTGGCATTTTCATATAAAACGGCTGAAGAAAACTGTATTGCACAGGTATATTCGTGCAGTTTTTACACTGACAACCATTAACCCATGTAGGCTCTTTCCATAATTCTAATGAATCGTCATTATCAATTTTAATGCTAAAGTGACCAATTGCACTAACTCCCAAGCCGTCACCATCATCAGGAGATTGAACCGTAATGTTAAGTATAGAATTTGGTATCAAATTGGCATATGTAACCTGAGCACCACATTCTAAAAAAAAAAATTTTTTTGACTTTTTTTACCAGAAAAATTATTATCGTTATGAATTAGAAAATTAACTTACTATTATCACAACTGTGACCAGCAGGATGACAACCGTGAGCTTTTTTAATAAGCATAATGAAAAAAAACACAAGTAAAATGAAGTATTTTTTATTCATGACGAATTATGATTTAATAATTATGTTCAAATGATTGTATTTATATTTCTTTAAAAAAAATCTTTTCCTACAAAGGAATAACATATATATAAACATGACCGGTTAAAAAATAACCTGGATTGGCATTACGTCCAAAGCGAATGGAAAAAAAATTAACATGTATGAAAATTAGGTTACACGAATAATATCATCTGCGCGCGCTTAATACTTTATGCGCTAATTAAATAATCCGAATTTCTATCCCACTACTTAAACCATAATACTGTAATAATCAGCATCTTTATCATCATCGAAAAATGTTCCGCTGAAATTATATTTGCTTCGCAAAGTCACTTCCGCGACCTCATCTTCTCCCTCATTATCTGCGCTCTGCGCCTAATATACGCCAATTAAATGGTATACATTCTCTTCCCACTACTTAAATCGTAGTGTAAGGGGCAAAAATAATAATTAAAAACAATAAAAATTTTGTATAACTCTAGCAGGTGTGGTCATAGACACATAACTGGCACAATGAAGATAAAACGCGAGTATGGAAGATCGAACGTGCCGCGTAACGAACAACAATACTTTATTGTCACGTGATAGTTATACGCTGGATAGCGTAAGATCTGATCCTGCCACGAACAATCAATATGGGTAATTCTTTTTGAAGGCGGACAGGGATTTTTCTGACTTTATAATTGTACTCCTAGAATTTATATTGTATATGTATTGTTCAAAAAATAGTGATCAAAATATCATATATAACATGTTTGTCGTTTTCAAAAAGAATCAGCCAAATATAAATAAGTCTGCTTTGCATATTTGAGCAAGATAATGTCAACGATAAAGTATTGAGGAGCACAAGAAATTCGAAAAACATATGAAATTTCATCTGAAACATTGAGAAAATGAAACAACCAAGAAGATATCGAGTATTAGAATACCTGGTGGCAACAGGTTGTATTCCATAGTGGATATGGAAAAGATATTTGGAAACCAATGAAAAGAAAAAGATCTGTTACGCATGAGTCAGTTCAGAAAAGCAAAAAGAAGATCTTAACAAACAGTGCGAGTACCTCAGGCAAAAATGTCCAGATCATAAACTCATCAAGAACATTGAATCAGGAAACACAAAGGTTTTATGTCCATTTTGAAACAATCATACCAAAGAGATATCAAGGAGATTGTAGTTACCCACAAAAACCGTCTTTTTAGTAAACATAATACAAAGATTGTGATATTCAGTTCAGACATCAACATTGATGATACCGAATCCGATGAGCTTGCTAAGAATCTATTATCAATTATTACTATCTTTATAGCAAAACACAACAAACCCAGATCAGCTGAAAATCGAAAATGATGAAAAGATATTGAAAACACGAAAGATACAGATTTATCCAATGCCTGAAGAAAGAGAAAAACTAAAAAAGTGGATAAGAGTTGCAAGATGGACATACAATAAAGTACTTAAGATGGTACAGTATAATGAGATCATTGATATGAGTATCATACAAAGGCATTACCTAAACAATAAATGTTTTACAACTAAAGAACTTTTATATATAAAAGAAATTCCTAGGAAAGTACATTTATATGTGATTAGACAATTAATGAGTGCATATAAAACAAACAAGAAGTTGTATGGAAATAATTTTTGAATGAAGTACTGATCAAAAAAGAATCGAATACAAACTATTTTAATCCTTACTAGAGATTGAAATAGAAACAGAGGAGAATATGTGTTTCTAAAGAATATCATCACTTCAGAATAATCACTAAAGATTAATAATACAGTGAACATTACTATGAATCACTTAGAACATTTTTACTTGTGTATTTCTGTTCTTCTAGACATTATCAATAACCAAGATGATATTCGAAAAAAGGTAATCTTGCTTGATCCAGGTGTTTGTATGTTTATGATTAGTTACAATCCTGATGATTAATTAATCGAGTGAATAATGGTAATCTTAACAAAATATTCAAACTATTCAAGAAATATGACAAATTACAGAGTGACAAGGATTTTGTGTTAGGATGAACAAACAAGAGAAAAAGATTTAGATTAAAAAAAAAATGTTATAAGTTATACAACGAATTTGTCATTTAATAGATAAGTGCCATCATTAGCTTATAAAATGGTTGTATACAATTATAAGATTATCTTGTTACCTAAATTCGAATCTTCAAAAATGGTTTTAAAAAATAAGAGAAAGATTTGGTCGAAGACTGCTCACGCAATGCTGACTTGGTTGCATTTCAGGTTTTAGATATTCTTACAACATAAGGCAAGTGAGTTTTGTATTTGCAAGGTCATCGAGTATACTGAGAAATACATGTTCAAGACATGTAAGTATTGTAGATTCGTGAAGAATGACCTCGAAGAATTAAAAATATTCAAATATGATCTGTGTGAAGTGAAGATGGATAGGGACATAAATAATGCCAAAAATATCTTGCTCAAATATTTAATAAAGGGTTAGGCTTTGACCTGACTTTGGGACTTGAACCTACAATATATGGGATATGATATGTATAGTAAAGACTAACTTTATTTATTTACAGTATATTGAATTCAATTTCAAGGGTTTTAATAATAAATTTATTTTATCCGCGCATGTATCGCACCTTAGCCCTTAAAAAAAAAAAAAATAATAATAATAATAAATTTATTTTTATCTATAATACATATATAATATATAAAATATATACTATAAGTGAATAATTTTTTTTAAAATAACACAGTATAATATAAATAAATATCATTTTTTTATTATATAATTATATTTTTACATTATACAGTATACATATTATTAAAAAAATAAGTCCAAAAAAATCTTATTTAACATTTTGTTACTATTACTCATATATAGTCTATAACAAATAATAATAAATATCTTTCTTATAATAGTTATTTAATTTATATTAAAAAATATTTTTTTTAACTATTGAAATTAAAAGATCTTAAATTCAAATAAATACAATTATTTTAAATAAAAAAATTTAGTAATAAAAAATAAAAAAGAATTAACAAGAATATTATTTTGTATATTGTTAAAAAAATAAATCTAAAAAATAATATATAAAAAAATCAAATCGAAATTAATTTAAATAAAATATAATAATTGAAAAAATACAAATATTGTATATTGTATTTTAATTTTTAAATAAAAATTACCTAAAAAAAATTTTTTTTAAAAAATATCAATGAGACAAAAATATAATATTTGAAATTTTCTAAAAAAATTTTTTAAAAAATTAAAATTATATCTTATTTAATAAAAAATCATTAAAAAAAGTATTAAAACAAATCTTTAAAAAATCATTAAAAAACTTAATAAGAATAATTATATAGAAATTATAAGTTAGAAAAAATTTAAGATATAATTCATAAAGAACTTGTGATAAAAAAAAATAATAAAGTTATTGAAAAATTAAAAAAATACAATATATAAAAAATTAATAAAAAATATATTTAAAAAATTATATAAAATTATTAAATATAAATAGAAAATTATTAAAAAAATTAAAAAGCAAAAACTAAAAAAAAAAAAACTCTTTTTCATATACAACTTTTTTCTTAGAATTTTTTTTTATAGTAATTTCATTCCAAAATTAAAAAAATAAATTTTTTTTTATCTTTTAATATTCAAAAGTCTTTTACACTTTTTTTTTTTTACTACAAGAGCCTTAAGAAAATCAAAGAAATATACTAATTAGTACTTCGAAAAGTATCAAAATAATACCAATTATATATGTTTTCTTATTACTATAAAAGGAAATTTGATCAACAATCCAATTCCGAATTAAATATGATTTCTAATTACTTATTAATTGTTATTTAATAATATAAACATAATACAGTTTTTGAAAAATGTCTGAATTAAATACAAACACATGTATAATACCAATCTATAGTAAATTTAATATATAGGTTATGATCTACTTATATGTTTTTATAGTAAATTTAAGTATTGAAGTGATATTATTAGAAGTCCTAATACTAATATATTAAGATAAAACCTCTGATCGAAAAAAAACAAGCTTGGAGTCTTGTTTTTTCTTTGAATTATATAAAGAAAAACTTGTAACAATTACTTTTTTATAAATATTTCTTAGGATTCTTCTCATTTTCTTTTTTTTTAATATACAAATCTTTTTAATTAATTATACTTTCTGCTTGAAAAACTTATTTTTATTTCAAAAAACTAGACTTTATATCAAAATTGTTTATATTGTTGACTTGAAGCACCAATAATATATTCAATATTTACTTCTTACTATTGTTCAACATACTTTGCTACACTATCAAAAATCAAAAAATTCCACTCAAAAAATTTTCTATTAAAAAACCATAATCAGTTTACTTGTGTTAACTAATTGATATTTCAAATTTAATGAATTAAATACTACTAAATTTCAAAACTATTTTGTATAACCAAAACACCATATATTAATCAATATGAACAAATTCTATTTTGATAATATAAATCAAAACAAAATTACATCACAAAAAAATAAATCAATAAATATATCAACAAAAATATTAACAATGATAACAACAATATATGATCTAAGTAATATATTGATAACACTATTATCTACTCTAGACAATAGTCTGACTATTTCTGGAAGTAATACTATACTTCAATTAAATGAATCAACCAGCATAATATACCTGTAAAGATCTTTAAAGATCTTCAAGCATAAACCTTTAAAGGACCTTCATCATCATCAAAAAACTTTGAAACAAAAATTATATATTAATCTTTGAAGATCTTTAATTTATTTTAATAATAATAAACTATATTTATATTTATATATTATAATTTAATAATTAATTTAAATATTTAATTGGCTTATAAAATTATTTTTATTATTATATAATTTTTGTTTATATTTATTTATTTGTTTAAATTTTCATTTATTGCCAAAGTCATTCTTTCTAATTTTATATTTTCCAATAGTAATTCTGAATTTTTTTACCATCACTAATTCCCAAATAGAACTACCTAAGATTCGGATTATCCTTATCTACCGGTCAACTTATTGTCTTCCATTCTTCCTATATTATCAGAACCAGAATCCTGATCATATAGGTAGAGTGCTAATGTGTCAAGATGTGCACTTTCTAGTCCCACCCACTATCCGATGAATGGAAACTCGAAGAACCGTATCCTAATACGATCAGTTGTGGAACTAAGTTATATCCACAAGAAGTCTTTGTGACTTTAGCTATGGTCACATGAAAACTGGGTTGTTTCTTTTATAGTCGTGTAGACTAAAGAAGAAAGGAAGCGTGCTCCATGCATGAGAAACAGGGATATCACCAAACTTGACAATGATCATCATAACACTGCCAGACGATTGTTACACTACTACGCCTTTCTTGATATCACAATCCTAACGCCTGTTGAATCAACATGTGAATTGGCTTCTTATAGAAAACAGTGCATATTAGGTTATGGCACTAGATATCATCTTAAAACAGCCCAGTTACCTTTACCTGGAACTGAACTTGGTATCTTGTGATGGCGATCAGAAGATGCTGATCTATTTCTTCTGGTTTGAGGTTTTCACATTAGCCCTCTGAAGGATTTGAACCATTATCTTGTGATCTGACCTGCAGAGCACTAACCACTGTGCTATAGATCCACAGGTCGATAGTAGTAGTTCTGAATTATTCTCAGTATTTTCATATTCTTTTAAAGATTCTTTTATAATTTGTAAATCAATTATTTTTTCATTGAATTTTCTTCTTCAAATCCAAGTTCTTTTTTAATTCTCTTCTAAAAATATTATTAGCAATAATTTATAATACTTTGAAGATTTTTAAAACCCATCTTATTTTTTTTACTTTATTTGAAATGTAAGAAGTTTATTAACTAATATAAAATTTAAAATATAAAAAAAAAATATTTAAACAAAAGAAATATATATAAAGTAAAATAAAACTGTTTAAAACAAATGTTTTAATTAAATTAAAAAAAAAAAAAGATAAAATAATCTCAAAAAATATTATTATAAAAAAAAAGAAAATTAATTAAAATATAAAAAAACAAATAATATTTAAATATAAAAAAATAATTTATATACTGTATATTCCGGAGCGTGGCGAAGAGTCTGCACTATGAAAAATTCTATCACGTGACATTGATTGGCTGTTATGCGTTTCTCTGTTCACTGTCCAACCACATGATTCCTAATTAATTGCTCCGGATTCCGTTTCCTAGTTTTTATACAATTCCGTTTTTTATTTTAATATTAAATAAGTATAATAAACACTTGTTTAATTATAAATATTATAAGATTATAAATAATTTTGTTTAAAAAATTTTTTTTAATCACTAGCTTATAAACAGTATATTTTTATTTTTAAAAGATTATACTGTTTATATACAATACATAGTATTGTATTAACTTGACAAAATAATTTAGGCTCGATGATTACCTATTGTGATTTTGAACTATATTAATTAGGTAACTAAGGATTGGGTGTATCATTACCATTTATGATTACTCACTGAAGACTGCAGTATTACCTAAAATTATTTATTGGATGCTGCGCATTGCGGAGCTAACTAAACCTAATTTGACCATGGTTTGTATATGTGGAAACTCCGTGAGAGTAATCAATAGTGATATAAGGTCGTTTGATTGTACCTCGTGACAGGGCCCGAATTCAATGTTGCTCCTTTCTTGTAAACAACCATTTTCAGTCTACTTAGTCAAACTTTATTATATAATTTCAGCAGCTAAGTGGACCTTCCCTCAAATTCTCTCTTACTGATAGGGTTGAAAAAGTATACGAAAGAACGTGAACTGGCTCAAAAGTAAATCGAGATTCGATTATGGCTTCTTCAAACAGATCTCAAAATCCGAGAGTTTCCAAAGAACTAAGCATAGGAAACTACATAATCGGAGAGGAACTAGGTCATGGTTCTTTTGCGACTGTATATAAAGGATATAATAAGGTAGAGTGCGGCTCAACGAGCATTTTGGAACCTCCATAAGTAACACAAATGAGTCTAAATGAAGTTTTTATCTAAATATATCTTGTCAAATTACTGTAACTACATTTATCTCACTTTATTCAACTATATATACATATATTATGTTAACTAGAATTAACATTACTTATTTTGTACATTTTGAACAGAAAACGCACAAAAAAGTTGCGATCAAATCTGTTCTGCGATCAAAGTTAACTAAAAAGCTATTGGAAAATTTAGAATCCGAAATAAATATTCTTAAGAGTATTCGACACGATTATATTGTCCAATTGGTTGATTGTCAGGTTAGTTGCTTTTAAATTTGTCATTTTGCAACATGTGATTTAACAAGCCGAATCGCATTTTTGTTAGAAATCCGACACTCACATACATTTGATAATGGAGTATTGTTCTTTGGGGGATTTATCAAATTATATTAAACGACGTGGTTCATCACTATCAAAAAGTCCTTCAAGTGGAGGCTTAGAGGAACGCGTTGTTCGTCATTTTTTAAAACAATTAGGTACGGTAAATTCCTAGGTTATTATATTAATGTAATTTTTCTTTTTATAAAAAAAAAAACCTTAAAAGTTGTAAGCGAACATTTAAATGGAAATTCATGTCATGAGATGTCCACATGATATCATATCGAGTTTTTTTACAAAAAGTATTATGATTTTCTAATAGCAAACGCGCTGGAATTTCTCAGATCTCGAAATTTAATACATCGTGACATCAAGCCTCAGGTACATTGATAGAAGTGACGTCTATTTTTTTGTTTTAAATATTATTTTAAAATTTCGCCGATGATCTTTTATTAGAATCTTTTGTTGTTGCCTCCTCCTTCAGACAAGGATAAGGAGGCTTCCGTTGGTTCATCAGACCTTCCAATTTTAAAAATCGCCGATTTTGGGTTTGCTCGTTCATTGCCATCGACGAATTTGGCAGAGACATTGTGTGGATCGCCACTTTATATGGCACCAGAAATACTACGCTACGAGAAGTATGATGCTAAGGCGGACTTATGGAGCGTTGGCGCAGTATTATACGAAATGAGTGTCGGAAAACCTCCATTCAGGGCACAAAATCATTTCGAGTTGCTTGGAAAGATTGAAAAGCGTCGTGATCGAATTAAGTTTCCTGATGAGTTGGTTTCTGATTCAGATAGTATTCAGTCAGATTCGGATAAGAATCCAAATAATAAAGGCGCTATAAGCGAAGAACTTAAAGACTTAATAAGACATTTGTTGAAGCGTGATCCAGTCGAGAGAATGTCATTTGAGGAATTTTTCATGCACCCATGTGTTACTGGTGAATTTCAATCAAGGAAGTCTTACGGAAATATACCTGCAAAGGAAAAGCTAGTAAACGTCAAACCTAATAATCCCAAAAACTCTGCGGAAAATGACATTTCGAAACGTCATGTTAGAGATAGGTCTATATCATCACCGGTGCCCGTCTCGTTTAAGGAAGAGGTTGGAACCAATCAAACTGGGAGAGCTTTTCATAATTACACTAGAACTAATATTACTAGAAGGGACATTGATTCATCTCCAAAAGGGATAGCAAACGTGTTGGGTGGAGATCACACGAATCTACTACAAAGGAAAACATCTCGAGAAAGTGTTAAACATCACCAAATCCTTCAGCGGTAATATTTTTAAGCATAAACAAATATTCTCATTAAATATTTAAGCTCATTCCAATTTTATGTTATTAAAAGGACTACAAAGCATCCTAATATTGTGACTGAAGTTTCGTCCAATAACGTGACGGATCTAGTCAAAAAGAACGATAATAATAGTCTTCAAGTTCATAATGATCTACAACCCTCCTATGAGAATCCTTCTCCTACTCCCTCTTTGTTGGTACAGACACCAAAAAATAATGAAGAAGATGTTAATTTCTTGAGGGAATACGTTATGGTCGACTCCAAACGTACGGTAGAAGTTAATAGTTTAGCAGATGGTATGTTCGCCTACATTTTTTAAACTGATGGATATATGACCTGCTTAAACCCTCGCTCGACATATCCGTTATCAATAGCTTCTTTTCTACAGCCTCTTTGAAATCCAGAATAATATAATGTATTCCAATCTATTATATAGAACTCGCCGCATCGCCCAAGTCTCTGGGATTGGTACAGAAACATTCTAACAAAGGAAATTCCATGGGAATCACGGGCATAATTTCACCTTCGAGTCCTCTGGATCCGCAATACCGTAATTCAGTTTCAAATCATTCTCCTTATAATGTTATTTATTCCACTACTCCACCATTCGCTCTGCCTCCCTCTCAAGAAAGGGTCGGTTCGGCAGGTAGCACTAGTAGTGCATCCTCTGCGCTTGCCAGAGCTTTATCTGGTGTCTCGCTTCGTTTATTCAGAACAGGAAATTCTCCACCTTTGTGGAGCGATAGATACTCGAAGCAAAAAGGGAATGCCATTTCTTTTCCGTCTGATGCTATGGCTGCTTCTCCTGAAGTAATACATTACATTTTGATTGTGGCGCGATTAATAAATATGATAATAATTTAATTTTTTGTTCATTTCACAGGATGTGGTGATCAAAACTATTGAAGATTTCGCATATAAGGCCCACGTCGTTTACCAATTCGCCGAAACCAAATATCATCAACTTTTGCCTCCACCACCTACCGCGAGTAGTGAACTTATTGATATGAAAACGGTTTCAGCAGAAAACGCCACTACATTGGCGCAAGAGGCATTTGTTTTGTATTTGAAATGTTTATCGTTGCTACAGAGTGCCATGGATAGCGCAAGGGAGTATTGGACAAGTGTTGGAAAACAACAATCCGATCATCCGAATGGAAAAGAAGTTTCATCGAGGTTAAATCAGGGTAATTTTTTTTTCCAAGATTTTTTACAAAATTCTTTTCTCGGGATTCTAATCACTCTTATTTGAATAAAACAGCTGTACAATGGGTGCGTACGAAATTTAACGAGTGCTTAGAGAAAGCTGAGTACGCAAAATCCAGGTGTCCAACAGAGGAGGCAGGTGCTAGCAATTGTTTTGTCGAAAAGCTTCTTTATGATAAGGCCTGCGAAATGGTAAACCATTGTTGTTGTTTATTAATTATTACTTCAGAAGAGATTTTTTGTTTATTTGAAAATTTAAAATGCACAAAAAGAGTCGTCAAGCAGCACTTAATGAACTTATGTGTGAAGATTTGTTCGGTTGCGAGAGTGCATATCGTTCAGCCATTTATATGCTGAATGCCGTTTTAGAGAATACTCCTGAAGACGGTAACTCCCTGGATGACCACGATCGACAAGTTGTGAATAAATGTATGTGCTTGTATATAATTATTTCGAGTTACTCCGCTATTCGCTTGTACGACAATAAAATGATCTTATTTATATATTCTTATTTTGTTTGTAGTCATTGTCGAGATAACAAAAAGGCTTAACTCCCTTCAGAAGAAACTGACCCAATCTGATGTTCCGGTAATTTCCAGTCATCAGGGAAGTCCAGGGTAGTAATATTAATAATTCCGTTTGTCACAATTCTATGGATTTTTATCGAGTGAAATACCAATCGCCTATGATTGTAGGAAACTTTGGTACGAGCGATAGGTCATGTTTTATCAATTTTACATTAACAAGAAAAAAAAAAAAAAAAATTGAACGATTAATTTCCCACCACTTGAACGAACACCTTTCGCTCGTATTCATATTTTCTATCAATAGACAGAGTTTATGATAAGATATTTGTATAAAAATTATACTGTAATATATTTCTTAATTTATAAAATTAGATAGTATTTCTGATTTTCAACGAATTTAAGCTTTGTAATTTTCAATTCCCTTTTTTTGAATAAGATTAAATAAATGTTCCTCGCACACAAAAATGAAAATATTGAAAATTGAATGCCAAATCGATGATCAGTATGTTAATAAACGTCCATATTTGATTCAAAGTTATTTAAATAAATAATTCTAAATTTAAATTCTTGATTTAAAAATAACAGAAATAGATATTTTGTCATCGTAGATTTTAATTACACAAGATCCGATCTAGAAATAACATCACCTTCACATATTCCGTAGTGATATTGTGTGAAATATATACATTGAAATCAACGTTGTAAGAAATCGTTGAATTCGTAAATCAGAAATAATCAGACATTAAAGTGTTTATTTTATACTTAAGTTGACCCAAACACGCAATACTTATATACAACTACGCAGTAATTTATTAAAAATTTATTTCGGCACGTGCTACAATATTCATTTTTATTTAAATACTATGCAACCTTTCTTTTAATTAGTCACATTTACAATATAGGATATTTATTTTAGCCTCGATCCGTTAATTAAAATCGTTAAAGGTTATTGAAAAGCGGTATTGATTGTATCATTCCATCTAATGTTCTTTTATTATCAAGTGATCAAGGACATGTTTTTATTAGTTTTATCTTTTTTATAATTCTTTATTACGGACAGATCTTTGCTGTGTGATCGCAAAATTGAAGTTTCTGAGTTGTGTCAACCGGTTTATTCGATTTGATCGCTTCAAGAATGTTGATAAAATAAAATCGGAAACTGAAAGATCATTAATAATGCTTGCGTAATGGTTTTCAATATTATATTCATTTACTTCCGCTTGAATGCATATCAGATAAGCATTACATAAAGTTTTTAAATAAATTTTTTTTATCAAACTGTGCATGATTAATTCTCGTACCTTTCTTGAAAAAACCCAATAGAAAAAACATACAAAGATCGGACGGATATTTGAAATAGGACGCGTAAAATAATCCATGATAAGATTTGCAAGGCTTTTTATGCAGGAATTGGTATTTCTATACTAAATTATCATATAATGCGAGATATTTGATAAGTCCTACAATAAATACAATACCTATACAACCGCTTTTTTAGCATCGTTAATAGTTAATTGTCAGAATCTAAATTGGATCGTTCAATTAGCACTTCACTATCACGCCAATATATTATATTTATTAAAGTCGAGAAACTCTTGCTCGTGATGGACTTTAAAAAATTTTTTGGAAATGATTTCTGAAGTACCGGAGGATAATATCTGAAGTTTCCCTCCTTTTCACTCGGATTATTAAATCCATCCATGATACCAGATCATCACTTTCAAAAGTGGTGTATCCATCATCATTAGCATACATCCAATCGGAATCTACCTTTTCTGGGGGTTGACCATTCACCTTCTTTAAACCTTGGTATTTCCACATGGTATCTCTGAATCCAACGGTAATGGGCGCAACGTATTTATTACAGAGCGGGCACTTTGATTTATGTTCATCTTGGAAAAAATTAAAGTCGAGGTAACCCCACTGGATGATTACCGGACCGTTATTATAAGCTTCACAGAGCTTGTTTTTACAGTATCCTTGATAAAATAACCATTAACTGTGTCAGTTTTTTTTATCTTAATTTGACCAATATTAGCATTTACCTTCAAGATTGAGACCACCCACTGCGATCCTCCAAGAAGGGGCATCATAGTTCCAAGGTCTTACCATTGTAGGTTTAGTTAGATCTTGAAAAAGATTAAGATTAAAACATCCTCCTCCACGCAACTTTCTAATTGAATTGATAGAAGACTCTCGTTGGATATTGTAGTCAAATAAAGTTCTTTGGTCTTCCAATTCTATACCAGCAAATATGAATTTTTGTTGGTCAGGGGGAATCCCTTGTTTATCCTGGAGTTTTTCCTTGACAATAAAGATGGTGTCATGACTATCAACTTCGAGAGTATAAGTACTATTAAGTGTCTTTACAAAGATTTGCATTTTTTGGTTCCAAATATGCAAGTTGAAAATTCGCAGAAGCTTAAAATAATTTTGCATCGTACCACCTTCCTACGTGTAACATATATACAGTAATGTGCGTTTTTCCAGAACTAAATTGATAGAATGGTCAGTTTACAGGAATGGTTTAACGCATCAATAGCGGAAAAGGAATTACCACTATCGTTACACACAATATAAATTGTATTATAAAAATGGCATTTTAGTCTTGGTTAAGGGAAATGTCCTGTGACTGTTATTAATACATGGTCACGTGACCAAATGCGTACGTGCTTCCCTTCTTTTCACTCGGATTACTATATGCATCCATGATACTAACTCCTCGCTTTCCAAAGTGGTGTATTCATTGTCATTTGTAGACTCCCAATCACCATCAATCTCCTTTGGGGGTTTACCATTCATCTTCTTTAAACCTTGGTATTTCCACAAGGTATCAGTGAATCCAATGGTAATAGGTTCAACGTATTGATTACAAAGTGGGCATTTTGCTCTATGTTCATCACGGAGAACATCAAAGTCGAGGTAACCCCACTTGATGATTACTCGACCTTTGTCGTAAGCTTCACAGAGCTTGTTTTTACAATATCCTTGATAAAATAAACATTAAATACGTCAGTTTATTTCACTTTAATTTGATAAATATCGACATTTACCTTCAAGATTGAGACCACCTACTACGATTCTCCAAGGAGCATTATCGCTCCAAGGTTTTACTATCGTAGATTTGGTTAAATACTGAATGTGATTAAGATCAAAACCTCCTCTTAATGCAACAACGCTTACAGACTCTTTTTTGATATTATTTTCAGAAACGGTTCTTTCATCTTCCAACTGCTTACCAGCAAATACAAGTTTTTGTTTGTCATGAGGACTTACTATTTTTATCATTTTAGTTTACAATAAACGTAAGAAAAAATATTATTATTAAGTCTAATATCTTTATAGAAAATAAATAGAATAATAAATCTGTAACTTACTATTATCAAAATCGTATTCGTTCTCCCATATTATTACTCGATTGCGACCATATTCTTTGGCCTTATACATAGCTTGGTCAGCATGGTTAATCATGTCTTTAAAATTTTTCACCAACGAGTTTATTCCAGAAACTCCAATGCTAAGTGTAACCAATAATTTCTTTTCTTTATAATTAAATGAATGTGATTCAACAGAAGCTCGAATTTTCTCAGCACAGTCGAATGTCAAATCAATGCTAGTGTTCTTAAGGAAAATAGTAAGCTCTTCTCCCCCATATCGTGCAAAGATATCTTCTGGACGAATGAGAGTCTGAACAAATTTAGCTAATTCTATCAAAACGTGGTCCCCAGCCTCGTGGCCATTATCATCATTGATCTTTTTGAAATGATCTATATCGAGAAATATTAAACTCAAATTTTTCTTTTTTTCTTTTGCATTTTTAAATTCATTCTCTAAACTTTCTAAAAAATAATTCCTATTGTAAATCTGTAAAAGTTTATCAATATGATTCTCATATTCTCCAGCGGGATGATATTGAAGAATGCTACGTCCTATTTTAATTATGTCATCTTTTTCTAAAGTACGTTTTGTGTAGACTGCGAGTTTTCTACCATTTACAAAGACTCCTGATTTAGAGCCCAAATCGATGATGTCGACTCTTCCTTGGAAATTATTAATACTTGCATGTTGCTTAGAAACTTCTTGATCTTTTATAATAATATCATTCAAATTGTTTCTTCCTATATATGTTTTGCCTAGAGGAAGGAAAAGGAATTGATTTTGAGGTGAACCTTCAATAACTGTCAAGCAAGCATCATTTTTTGATGTTGAAGCACGATTCCTTCGATAAGAAACTTCTGTAATATAACCTGAATTTTGATATACATGACCAAAATCAATGTTACTGAGACAACAATTGACCTCTTCAATTGATGGACGTTTTTCATGATCATCATCCCATGCATTGCGATAAAGCTCTAAGTAATCTATCGGTGTTAAATTTACAGAAGTTTCTCTCTTTTCATCCAGAAGAATCATTTTTATTAATTTTGCCTTCTCTAATTTAGACTCGTTACTAAAAGGAGTTCTGCTACTTGATATTTCCCATAAAATCCACCCTAGACTGTAGATATCCGATGATTTATTATATTTATAATCAAGCGTACGATCAAAAAGCTTCGGATCCACAAAAACAATATCTTCAGGATTTAAATTCTCATCAACGATTTTGAGAGCCGAGTCCTCTAGAGTTATGGATGAACCAAAACCTATAATGATCAATCTACCGTTGTGGTCTAATACATTCTTTGGGTTCTATAGTTAAAAAGCATAAATAAATAAGAATGGTCATACTTGCGACTGTTGATTAATTAATATTAAACGCAATTAGCATGCTGAATACTGACCAGTTTACAATGTATAATATTTGCATTATGAATGTACTTCAAGCCATTGGTAATATCCATAGCCATTTTTATTTTAAGGGGCCAGCCTTTTTTCAAAACATTTTCATCTTTCAAATGTTCTCTTAGATTTTTGCCATCGCAATATTGAATTATCATAGAATAGTGACTCTTTTGAGGATCTAATATAAAACAGTGAATTATATTAATCATACGAATTTCTGTTCATGGGGATAAATAAATATAGAAAAAATACCTTTAGTAACACCAAGAAATCTAATTATGTTTTTATTATTTTCAATTTTTTTCAAATTTACCATCTATATTATTCATAAATTTTAATAAATTTTAATAAAATAATCTCAAATCAGAAAATTTAGTAATTATGAATACCTCTCTTTTAAGTTTCTCATAATATTTATCAACATGTTCTTTTGGATATTTAATTATAACGTTTTTCTGTTTCTTTTCCTGATAAGCACGTTTGACCACACTTGTTATTCCATCATGAATAATTACTATATTTTGGAATTCGCTGTAGTCAAACTCATTTAACATGCCATCATTAATATAACTTTTAATTGATTCCATGGTTATTTTGAGAAAAAGAATGCGAAGCCAAAAAAAAATACATATGGGTAATTCTTTTTGAAGGCGGACAGGGATTTTTCTGAATTTATAATTGTACTCCTAGAATTTATATTGTATATGTATTGTTCAAAAAATAGGGATCAAAAAATCGTATATAACAT